ACCTGCTGTGATGTAGCAGAGCTGTTGTTTGGCATCTGACTGGCTCGGTGTGTCATTGGTGGGTCCTTGAGAGGGCTGGAGGCTGAAGAGTGTGGCCTTGATGCTGAAGGGAGGGGAAGATGGAGGTGCCTGGGCAGGAGGTCAGCAAGAAAGGTATTGCCTCTCTGGGGAATGGGAGGTGGTAGGGAAGAGAAATGAGATCTCTTGCCAAAGTAAGGACATGTCCGTGCCTATGGCAGGATTGCTCTACATATTTTTAAAATATTTTGTTAATGGAAAGGCTGAACAGAATATACAAGGATTGTAGCAGGAGAGAGTGAAGGCATCATCAAGGCACAGTGAGGGAAGAAAGAAGAGAGAGGAAGAGCAAAAGGGAGAAGAAAAAGAGGGAAGAAAAAAAAAAGGAAGTATGTGAAGAAATCAGTGTGAAGAAGAATGGGAGCTATTCTGAATCACCTTCTTCATTGTTCTTTGTGAGCACTTGAAAACATTTTAGGAACGTGATAAAAAATAGAAGAGACTAGGTGGAGACAGAGGAGGAGAGGGGAAAAATATAGGATAAAGTTAAGGAGAAAAAAAGACATAAGGAAAGAGAACAGGGAAAGAGAAGGGAAAGAGAAGTGAAAGAGAGACAGGGAAAGGGATAAAACCAGGAATACAAAAGGAAATAAAAAGGAAGATGGGAGCCTATTCAAGGAAATATAAAGCCAGAACGAAGGTAAGAAAGGAAGGAAGAACAGAAACAATAATAACGGAGAAAAATACCTTCCCTCACCGACGTTACCTGCAGATGCTGAGTGGAGGTGGTCCCCAGCAAAGGCCCAATGCACTGCGGCTCTAATGCCCCGTACTGAGAGATGATGGTCTCCTCTGCGGCACTGGAGGCAAGTGAGGAGATTCCAGCCGGGTTGATGAATTGAGGAGAATGGAAAGAGGTGTAAAGAATGGAGAACAGGAAGCAAGACAATGATGACGAAGAAGAAAGCGAAGGAGGAAAAAGAGAAGAGTAGCAAGGGAAAAAAGTAGGAATAAGAAGGGAAACGAGACATGACTAAAAAGAGAGAACAGAAGAAAGCAAGAAAATACAAGAAAGTCAGACGAATTAAAAATAAAACATCTGAGAAAGTACAGTAAGCGATAAGGACAAATAAATGAGAAAAAGAAAGAGAAGAAGGGGATCGTGTGCGGCGGCGGAGCAGCGCACGGTGTCGCTGCAGGCTCAGGAACGGCGTGTGGGCGGCTCCGCCCCGGTGCGGCGGAGAGCCCGGCTGTGAGCGCGGGGGGGCGGCTGGGGCCGGGCAGCGGAGCCGGGGCGTGCGGGCGGCGGCGGGAGCCGTGCGGGGCCCGTGC